TTTGTGAGATTTGAAATTAGTACCATTATCGGTTACAAAATACCGTGGTATCCCAAATTGTGAGAGGATTTGTCTGCAGGCTTTAATCGTTGTTTCAGCCGTCATATCATGTACTAGCCTGACTTCTGGCCATTTCGTATAGGAATCTACGAGGATTAGTAAATAAAATCCGCATATTGGTCCAGCGTAGTCAGCATGTACACGTTCGAACGGTTGTGTAGATGGTTCCCAAATGTGTGTGTCTACTTTATGAGGATTATTTCGTCTTAAGTTGCATTCAATGCAATTACTTGATATATCTTCAATAGATTTATCTATATTGGGCCACCAGCAATAGCCTCGAGCTAATGCTTTCATTTTGGAAATACCAAAATGACCCAAGTGTAGTTCTTTCAAAACTGGGCTCTGCAATTCCTTAGGAATCTATACCCTATGCATTCGCATAATGCACCCTTGTTGTAAACTAAGTTCATTTAAATCTACTTTAGGATTTAAATGCAGATCTACATCAGTACCAGTTTCTAAAGAATGTAAAAGGTTAGAGAGAACAGGGTCTTTTTTTGTTTCTTTAGCTACCAATTCCACTGTAACCGGCAAACTTTCAATTATACTTATTTCAAAAATATCTACTACATCAGGATTTGAAACTGAAGTTGTTTCTGGAATTGGTAATCTGGATAAACAGTCTGCATTTAAATGTAATTTAGTGTTTCGGTATTTAATATCATAATTAAAACCTTGTAGAAACATTGCATAATGTTGCATTCTCATTGCAGAAAAAACAGGTAAACTTTTTGTTGGTGAAAATATTTGTACCAATGGTCTATGGTCAGTATAAAGCGTAAATTTATTTAAATATAAATACTGATAAAACTTTTTAATTGCAAAAATTATTGCATATGCCTCTTTGTCAATCTGGGAGTATTTTCTTTGAGTGAGTGTAAGGGTTTGGGATGCATATTGAATTACTCTTTCTCTCCCATGAGGATAAATGTGAGATAGTACTGCTCCTACTCCATGTGGACTGCTATCAGTAGCCACAACTAAAGGTAACTTAGTGTCATAATGTACCAAGAAATTTGGACTTTGAAAAAGCTCTTTAGATTGTAAAAAAGCTTTTTCACATTCGTTTGTCCAACTAAACTGCTTATTTTTACAAAGTAATTGATTTAATGGAAATAGAATAGTACTTAGATTAGGAATGAATCTACCGTAATAGTTTATCATTCCTATGAAAGCCCTTAATTGCGTTTCATTTGTTGGTCGTGGCATCTTATTTATTGCATCCATTTTATCCTGACACTTGTGAATGCCATTTTTATCTATAATGTAACCGAAATATTTTATTTCTTCTTTAAAAAATTACCTTTTTTCTAAATTGACCCGTAGTCCGAATTTTTGTAATCTGTCAAAAACTTGAACTAAACGTTCTAAATGTATTGACTCTGTGTTGCCTGTAAGCTTTATGTCATCTAAGAAAACTGTAACCCCAGGAATTCCTTGTAATATATTTTCAATTTCTCTTTGCCAAATGGCTGGAGCAGATGAAATACCAAACAACAATCTATTACATTGATAAAGACCTTTGTGTGTATTTAAAGTAAGTAAATGTCTATAGTCTGGATGTACCTCCATTTGTAAGTAAGCTTGACGTAAGTCAAATTTTGAAAAACTTTCACCTCCTGCCATTGCCGAAAAAAGTTCATCAATGGTGGGTAATGGGTGGTCATCTATAATTAAGCAAGGATTTACTGTAACTTTGAAATCTCCGCACAAACGAACTTCATTATTTTTTTTTTTAAATTGGCACAACTGGAGTAGCCCATTCTGAGGTATTTACTTTTTCTAGAATGCCTTCTTTTACTAAATTATTGATTTCCCTCTCAACCAAAGGTATCAATTTAAATGGAACTGTACGTGCTTTTAAGAAAACAGGTTTGGAATTCGGTTTCAAAGTAAATTTTGCTTGAATATTTTGTATTTTTCCAAAACCTGGTGCAAAAATATCTTTATAATCCTGTAAGATTTTATCTAGTTTGATTTTACTACCTACTTGAATATCATGTAAATCATAATTCAATGGTAATTGTCTTATCCATTCTCTACCTAACAAGGGAGATCTATCTATACTTGTAATATACATATTTAATTTTTTTGTGATTTCTCTCATTTTTACCCTAACTAAAATGTATCCTACTAAATCGATAGGCATTTTACAATATGAAACCAGTTCTAAAGTTGTACTGTGTATTTGTACATTTGAAAAATGTGTATCGTGTAAAGTTTTTGATATTAATGTAACAGGAGAACCACCATCTACTTCAAAACTTATAGACTTACCTTCTACTTCAACCTGTAATCTATATTTTTTTCTAAATTCTGTATGTTCTGGTTCTTTGGTATCTACCAAAAGAATTTCATCCAAATTATGCTGATCCTGGCTCTCCTCCTCAACAAGATTTGTGTATCGTTTGTTTTTATTTTTCATACAAACCCTCTGTAAGTGGCCTTTCAAATTACATTTTTTACAAGTAATGTTTTTATCTAATTTACAAACATTTGCTTTGTGGTTATAGGGAAGTTACACTACTTAATACAATTAGACGATGGACTTGAATGTAGGAGACATATAGATCAAATCAGGGAGATAGGGGAAACCACTCCTAAAGTACATGTTCCTCGTTATCCAGATCCACCAACTACTCCAAAAGTGTATACGCAAATTATGCAACAGGAACCAGTTGTTATTCCAGACAACAATCCTTGTCCTCCGCAGCCTCCTAATTTAGATTCAGAGAGAGAAACTAACCTATATGTAAGTGGTTTTCCAAACCCAGCTCCTTCAGTTAGTGGAGAAAGTGCAAAATCAAGAAGACGGCAAAGGAACTTGAAACAACCCCACTATCTAAAGGATTATGTTTTACCAAATCGGAAAAAATAATGTTTTATGTTGTAATTCATCTTGATTTTTTTTGTTCCTAATTTTTTGTTACTTTGTGTATGCAGCAGTTTTGTTTTTCTCTAAGGAAGAGAAGTGTTATATTATTATAGATTATCCATAGTAACGTTAGGGGGATGACAAGCAATCTAACACATGTCATGTACTAATATTTCACGTTTTGGGAAATAAAAGTATTTTCATAATTTGGCCTGTTATTATACTACAAACCTTAATTCTACAATATACAGTGGCTACAGTCACAACATACATATAAAATAAAATAGCTTCATAAAAGTTTAAAAAATGTTCATACTTTGTTTATAATAATTTTTTAAAGTTTGCAAAAACAGAAAAGTCACAGTGGTGCTATAATAGTATATGCAACGATCATGTAATCGCATAAACCATACGAAACTCGCCTTTGGCTCGTTTCGTATCCCGGTTAATGCTCGTGTATTAATAACCATTACATGAGAGTTGCATACGCTATTTTTTCTACACCCGATAAATAATCAAGACCTATAAATATTCTATTTATATTGGCATTGAACACAATAACAGTAATTACTCGTATTTCTATAAAAAATTCTACAAAATTGTAATTAATGGTATTACCTTGGGTATTGGTATTACCACAGATTTTTGGGGCAAAATATTTTGTACTGCATTTTCTCCTTTCTCCGATATGTGTGGAGGAGTCTTCTATATCGCTGATATCAGACATTTTAATATTATAATTATCGAAGTTTAGCTATCTACGAAAATTTAATACGTTTTGACAACTAAAACAATTACATAGGAATTTAGGACAAACGTCAAACATCATGCTTGATTGAAAAATTGTAGGTTTCTATTGATTAAAAATCTGTATCATAATGAAAAATCTGTATCATAATGGGTATCATTATGAAACGGATTATGGGCATATAAGTGCATTATTATAATAAGGGTGTAGAAAAAAATTTTTTTTTTTCAATTTATTATAATATTACTGTTTTAATGTCGAGAAAAGACAAAAAACAAAAAAAAAATTTTTCCACCATTTGTTTATACATTTTTTATAAACAAATGGAGTATTTCAATTTTTTTCAAATTTTTTTTTACAACTTTCTAGACAATTGCCAATTATGTTTCAAAAAAAATTTTTTTCTTAATAATAACTTTTAATTGTTTCGTTTTTTTAATATATCTATCGTTTAAATTATTAGTTAAGAAATGTGTTTTTCTTTTAAATCATAATTGACAGTCCTCTACAAAATGACAGCAAAAAAATTTTTTTATTGATAATTCCATTGTTTATTAAGTTAACAATTTGTTATAAAAAAATTCCCAACTTTGGTTTATTTTTTTCCTGAAAGAAATAAAAATTACAAAAACGACTTAGATTAAAATTACGGAAAAAATTTTAATCCATTTTTTATTAAACTTTGAAAAATTTTTGAATTTCAATTTATTAACTTAAAAAAATTATTTTATGTAACGTACTCGGTTTCGACGCCGTGCGTGGAACCTAAAAATGGCGCGCGGAAGGCTACTTTGAGCGTTATATTAAAATTATAAATAACGAAGATACAGTTCCGGTAGTCGAAACTTATTTATAGCAAATTTCCCCCTCTTTAAGGATCTTTTTTGAAAAATCTAAAAATATTTATAGTTTACAAACTATAGGCGAAAAACTAAACACCATGTTTTTGAGATGTTTAATTGTTTATAACTTTTGCAATTTTTTGTGCACTGTAAAATTATTTTTTACACATTCATCTAGACCTTATTCCGAATCGAATGAGCTATTGAACATAATTTTCGTAATAGTATGTCCCAAAAACACACTCTTGAACTTGTTGATTACACTATTAACAACACAATAGTGTTTAATAAACTTTGACTTATTATGTTTAGAGTGTGAAGGAAAAGTTTAGAAATGACGAATTATTTTAGATTTTGATTAAGATTTTCATATTTCAAAAATACAATTTTTGACTTTAAGAAAAAAATAACCTGCTCTTTCGTTTCCATATTTATTTAATAGATTAATAAATATAATTTTTATTATTTTTAGATTGACCCTCCTCTAGTTTTTAGTGAAACCGTCCAACCAATTAAGTTGCCGCAAAGTAATACGCCAAATCCAGAAGGAAAAATTGCAAATTTTGCAGGATGGGGTATAAGTAGTTTTGTAAGTTTTAAAATTTTAATAAATAAGTTGTTGCTGTAATATTCACCAATTTAATTTTAGGATTTATTTCACCAAACAATAAAACTCCAAAAAGTAAATCTGACAATAGTCGATATGAAAACATGCGTAGAAATTTATAAGAATACTGATACTCCGCTGGACCCAGAGACGCAAATATGTGCACAGGCTGATATGTCTGACGGTAAAATGAGAGGAGCATGTTATGTAAGTAGGCAACAAAAGTCGTAAGTCAAGAAATAAAGTAGATTTACCTGCGAAAAATAAAAAAAAGCAAAAAATTAGTCTGTTTCAAGTTATATTTTGATGATCTACTTATTTGGCTTGGATTGTTTTTTAAAATTATTTCGTAAACACTATGAGTGGGTCACAGAGACCCAGTTTTTTTTACTCATAAAAAACAAAAAATAATATTTTGACATTTATTTATAAACACAAATGGAAACATAACTAAAAAACAATAGCTATTAATAAAAAAAATTTAGGCGCAGTTTGGGCACAAAGTTTTTGCACATTCTATACACACTGGAATATTACACACTTGACAGTAGGTGCTGGTTTTCCTGTATTTTTTGACGGGACAAATTGCACATCTTTTTCTTTTAGAGGCTCCCACTCTTGAGGTGCTGGGAGTGGTGGAAGTGTATCTCCAATCAAATTAAAAATTAAAGTTTTCAAACCGCGTGGCAACGAAGTTTGATACCTTTTTTGCATATGCGGTATATATAAATTACGTCCAAGTTGTTTTAAATAATTGTACCTTGAAATTTCTTTACCACCTGAGGCAAATTGATAAATTACTTTACTATTTACCCCTCCAATATTCAAAAGAGCATGAAAAATGGTCATTGGCCATCTTCAACTTCTACGTGAAGTTGTGTAATTGGCACATTTTTGATCAAGCGCATCCACTCCCGCTTTAGTACTATTGTAAAATATTGTAAAATATTGTAAAATATCTGGTTTTGTGCGTCCACTTTATCATCATGGTGGGTACTTGAAATAAGAATAACAGATTTATTTTTTTTGGGTACGTATGATACTATTGTCTTCTGAGCAGTAAACCCAAAAATGGATGACTCTGCTTTTCTCTTGGGAGATGGCATAAATTCCAAAGGAATAAATGTTTTGTTTTTTTTCACTGTCCCAACAAATGTCAACTTTAATTTCTCTAATTCTCTCATTAGTTCAACTGAGGAGTACCAGTTATCGGCTGTTATGTTTCGAGAAGTATTTTTTATTGGTTCCACCAAACGAAGAACTACTTGGGTTGGATTGGAAAAGTTGTTTGTTTTTTCCTCTGTAGGATCTTTTCCAGCGTAAATTTCAGCATTTAGCATATAATGTGTTTCAGAATCTGCAAGAATTTGTACCTTTATGCCGTACTTTGCGGGTTTGTTGGGTATGAACATTCGAAATCCACAACGGCCTCTAAAAGGTACTAACATTTGATCTACAGTCATGCTATCACCAGGTGTATAGTTTTGCTTTGAATTAGTGACAAATTTATCAAACATTTCAGAAATTGGTGCTAGTTTATTTTCTTTTCTTCTATCCGCTCGAGTAGTCTCGTCATCGAAACGAATGCAGCATAAAAGAAATGAAAATCTGGCTAGTGGCATAGTAGCTCTAAATAGATCCCTTCCTGTACCATCCGTAGCCCATAGACTTTTTAATTCCTCATGGCCTGACTTGAACAAACCTTGAAGGTAAAGGAGACCAATAAACGCTTCAATTTCCAATTTATTTATATTTTTGATAAATGTTGGAAAAAATTATCGGCGCGCATTTTTCTTTCTTTTGCATCGACTGTATTTAGCAGCGACTATGTCGTGAATTGCACAATACTTTCTATCATTGAAATTATTTATTGTTTCGGCCTTTACTTGATGAAAATCCATTTAATTTTGAAAGAGTAAAACCTTTGACGCCTGCTAAAAATTTAATCAAATTGTTTGAGAGTGTTTTACCTTTTTTTGGAGGTGTCTTTGACCATTTCATTTTGTCTTTTTTACCATACCAATAATTTTTTCTTGTTTGTTCATTTTCTGGCGCTATATTTTCTCTTTGGGATTCATCAATTTGTTTATTATTTTCAACCACCATATCATCCTCACCAGAATCGTCACTATCTAAATTTTCATTATTGTCAGGTTCCCACTCTTCTTCACTATCACTTCTTCACTTTGTATTTCTTCATCTTCTTCTTCTCTGTCGCTTTCATCTCCACAGTCCAGAATATTTTTACAAGCATCTAGTTTATCACTGCTTGAAAGAGGTATATTTTCATTATTTTCTTGAGGGTTGTCATCATCTAGCCAAAATTCATCATTTTCAGCCAATTCTACGAGTTCGTTTTCAGTAAGAGGACGGTTATTCATTTTTCTAAAAAAATAAAGTAGTTATTAGGAAATACAGTTATATTTAGCGAATACTATTTTGTAGGGAACAATTACCTACCTGACTCAAATATAACTTTTACACTATAACTGGGTCACTCTGACCCAATATGATCGTTCTAACAGACTTGCGATAATTAATTTAAACTAAAAACGCCGCCGCATGTGTTCTCTCTGGCTACCTAGAGCATACTGAGAAGCCCAAGCAATAGAATCTCCGTAGAATGTCGCACTGACAAATTACCAATTGCGCATGGGTTAATGTGACCCAGTGGTAGTAGTTAAGGGTTAATTAGTTTTTTAGAAACGCGGCGCAAACGACTGACCTGAAATGAAAAATTCTTGTTCAGCCTTCATCTAAAGGATACTTGACACAAAAAACCCTACCCTAGTACATACAGATTTTCGTCTATAACAGTGGCTGTTGAACGGTGGTCTGCGAACCACTGTATATTATTGGAAGCATTAGAATAAAATAAAAGAATTCATCCGCAATAAATGTACACTGTTTCATTAGTAGTCAATCAGTGGCTACCAAAACGTTCCCAGAGTGTTTGACTAAAACAATCAATCAACTTTATTAAAAGTAGCGGACTCAACAAATAAGTTTTAAAAAATGATGTCCTATTATGGACTCTGAACACAAAACGCTGCCTTTTCACACCGAAGTTATGAACGATACACCCATTTTATCCAAAAATGCGGTAACTACCTCTTTTCCAGCTTTTGCTTACATAATTTCACTAGTTTGGCGAGAGTGATAAGATGCATTATATACTACTAAAACAGCATTTGGTAACAAATTAGGAATTAATTGTTCACTAAACCGTTTCCCGAACAAGGTAGATGTCATAATATTGGTGATAATCTGCTGAATAACTCAAAATATCTCTTGCTAATAGCTGATAGCAAAAGCAATTCGATACAATACCGTTTTCATTGCCAGAATGTAACATTATAATACGTTTTCCTCCATTTGGAGGAGCATGCACAGAGAGAAAGGACCTGATGGTTTATAAAAATGTAAGCAGAGGATCCCTTTTGTAGATCTCCACAAAGAAGCCTATTTTACAAAAATATCTGTTTTTTAAAATGATCAGCTGTCGCCACCATTGTCCCACTTTTCCCTTTCGTGAATCTGGCATCCCTATACTTAGTATTTCTTTCGATTTTATAAAACATAACCAAACAATAATTTAATAATTAAAAAGTAAAAGTTTTACATTTGTCATTTTATTTGACATTTCATACCTGTGATAACTAGGGTTGCCATACGTTACGCTTTTGGCGTATTTGCCACGCTTTTTGACTTGCCTGTATGCGCAATGCCACATTAAGAAAATGCCAGAAAATGCCTATCGAAATTTTTATATATTATCATTTATTTTTAATTTTTTTTAAATTATTTTTTTTTTATTTTTTTAATTTATTTTTTTGTATTTAATTTTATTGTTTTAATTATTTGTTATTTTTAATTAATTTTCATTTATTTTTTAATTTTTATTTATTTTAATTTACTTTTACTTATTTTTAATTAGTTTTATTTATTTTTATATTTATTTATTTTTAATTACATTCTTTTTATTAATATATTTTTTTCTATTTATTTTTGTATTAATTTAGATTCACTTACATTTTATTTTAATGATATATAATTTATTTTTATTTAAAATATTTTAATTTAATTAATTTTATTTATATAGGTATTTATTTTCATTTATTTATTTTAATTATTTTTTTATCTTTATTTATTTTTATTATTTTTGGTCAGTTTTATTTTTTAATTAATTTTTATTTATTTAATGGAACTAACTTTAAGTGGGGACTAAATTGTCGTAATGTTGTTTTTATTAGTTTGTTACTCATATTTTTCATGTCAGGCAAACCATAATAGGTTTACTTCAAAATCTATTTTACCATAAAGTCGTAAAATGTATTGAAAATTTGTAAATTTAAATTGTCATAACTTAAAAACACAAATAAAAAAAATTATTTTTCTGAAAAGAAAGTTCATATTTTTCCAAGTAAATAATAAAATTCAATGAACATAATAGAATGGCAAACATTGATGTAAAAGAGAATATTATCAATATGGTTGAAAATGATCCAAAAATTAGTACTCGCAAAATAAGTAATGCATTAGATCTACCACACGTTACTATTTGGCGAACATTAAAAAGAAGTAGGTTATATCCATTCCACTTTCAACATGTACAGAGATTGGAGATGGGAGATAAAATACATAGAATACTTTTTCTAACTGGATTATTCGAAATAAAAGAATTCTTAATCGATGTTTATTTTCCGATGAATCACAATTCACTAGGGATGGTGTATACAACTTAAGAAATTCTCATTTTTGGGCACAAGAAAATCCACACGTTGTAAGACAGAGCCACTCGCAAAATAAATTTTCTGTGAATATTTGGTGTGGTTTGCTAAACAACCATCTGATTGGGCCGCATGTGCTTCCTAATCGACTAACAGGTGAAGCATACTTAGATTTTATTCAAAATCATTTGCCAGTACTGCTGGAAAATGAAAATATTGGGGGCGTGTATTTCCAGCATGATGGTGCTGCGCCACATTTTAGAAGAATCGTAAGAGAATTTCTAAATGAGAATTTTCCTAATACGTGGATAGGTCGGGGTGGACCTAATCACTGGCCGGCAAAATCACCAGATTTTAATCCCGTCGATTATTACCTTTGGGGACATTTAAAATCATTAGTTTATAGTGACGAAATTAATACACCTGATGAACTTCTTCAAAGAATAAACAATGCGTGCGTAGAAATACGAAATAAACCTGAAACAATTCGAGCGGCAATCCAAGAAATTGTGGAAAGGGCAACAATATGTATTCAGCAGAATGGTTTTCATTTTGAACAATTATTAGGTTAGAATAGGTTATTTTATTAATTAGGTTTTAATTGTTTCAAAAAGTTTATTTGTGAAATAAAATTAATAATATTTTTTTTATAATTATTTTGTTTATACATAATTAAATTTTCCTGGTACCTTAAAGAAAATACCAAACTCAAAGTCTGTTAATGTTTGCCATTAATTTGAAATTTCCTTTTTAATCTTTACTTTCCTTATTTTTCATTATACAGGGTATTTAAAAAATTATTGGTTTGGCTAACTATACGGGCCTGTAATTTATTTCTAATATTAAATCAAAGACTGAAACAGTGTAAAATTGAGATACTTGAAAAGTACTTACTTAAAAAAGTAATATTTTCCATGTTTTATAATCAAAAAATCGTGTTTAAATTCTGAAGTTATCAAATTTTTAAAAATATCATTTTTTATCAAAAAATTAGTGCCTCTAAAACTACATGCGCAAATTTTAAAAGACACCCACCCAAATTGATTTTTTCCGCTCTTTTAAGATGTTTAATCAGATATGTTAAATTTGCTCATACAGGGTGTTGTTTTTGAAGCGGACAGAATTGCTCAAATTTTGTTAAGCCGGACCTGGAATCTAATTATTATTTTTACGGCATTAATTTTGTTATAGTGAAATGAGTCTACCTGCCAAATTTTTATTTTTTATACCGAGTGGTTGTTGAGTTTTGGCTAAAAACAAATTCAGGCGAAATTCATAAAACACCCTGTATCTGGGTAATGAGATGTGATAGACCTATTAATAATGGATGATTTCGAAGCACCCAAGTGTTTCACACCTACAGTTAACGTATGTACATTACATTCTGAAACACCCTGTATATACGAAATAATTTAACAAAACAAAGTACTTAAGAAAAACATCAATAACATTACAAAATAAACTAACTATTTAAAGTAAATAACTATGTTTTTCTTAAGTACTTTGTTTTGTTAAATTATTTCGTATATATATTGGATACCGAATTGTAAATTAGTCACATTTCAAAAAGAAGTTTTACTTCGAAACATATGTCATGTTAGTGTTTTTAAAAATTTTTATATTTTTAAAATAAAAGTGTGAAAATCTACCAAATTTGGTTTTACTCTTTCATTATTCATGGTTGTTATATTTCAGGGAGATTCAGGTAGTCCACTAGTTGTTGATGGAGTAACATATGGAATTACTTCAAAATGCCCTGGTGGATGTGGAAATGCGACAACCCCAACAATCTACACGAGGGTTGCCGGTTATTTAGACTGGCTTTCAGATAAACTATAAATATGTAATTTTAAACATTTTTGACTAAATTAAAATATTTTATTTATCTTAAATTTTTGTTTTATTTGATAACTATTATTAAAATATGCACTTTCTTAGGCTAAAGAGGAATCAGAGCAACCATTCACAGGACTCGAACCGGTATTTGGGATAACCAAAACATCTACTCGTCAGGCAGTGAATGCACACTAGCCAGGTATACTCGGACAAAAAAAAAGTAGGTGATTCCTTCCTGTTCACGTACAACAATCATACTATACCAGAGAATGTAATGAATGGAATCACGCACTTATAACTGCAGAAGTTATCAAAATCACGTGCCAACTAGTCATAAATGCATGTTTATTGCCAGTGGCGTATAAAAACTATTGGCAAATTAAATGCGGTAATAGTAATTAATATTATATGAAAGTAGGTTGGTTATCTATTTTTGTAGTAATAATCATTTTTGTTTATAATTTTGTTTTGTTTATTGTTAAAATATGTAAATATTATGCCAGTGGCGTAGAAACACTATTGGAAAATTAAATGGTGTATTATACTAGAACAAAATATTAAAGAAGGTGCGCCTTAAAACTGCAAAAGGTATCGTTATCATATCAAAATGCACTCTTCCAGTGTCGCATAAATACTCTATTGGCAAATTAAATGGGTATTTGTGAATATTACTAGATAAAAGTAGGTTGGTTATCTATTTTTGTTATAATAATTCATCTATGTTTATAATTGTATTTTGTTTATCATAAAAATATGTAAATTAAGCTTGGTATCACTTACTTGAATTCTAAATCTATGAAGTTTCGTAATCCATTGATTCTGCAGAACTATCACTGGAATCGTCTTTATCGTCGGAACTTAAAGTTATTACTAAAGGTTCAACTACCGTTTCGATCATACTGTCCAAGCGTTATATATTATTTTCTTCCTTAATTATATGGGAAATAGCATTCTGCCAATCTTCAGGTTTTATACGTTCTATACCGGTTTTTAATTAACTTTGAACGTCGGCTATTTTAAAAGTTTTATTTTCTCGAGCTGCAACCCCTTTCACTTGCGCCCAAATTAGTTCAATAGGATTGAATTCGCAGTGATAAGGGGGAAGTCTTAATACCGTAATACCACGATCACGAGCCATTGTGTCGACAACATATTGAATATATTTATTGCGGTGTTCTTTTATTAGGTCCATTAATTCCACTTTAAGCATCTCCTCAGTAAATGGTATTGCTTTATCCCGCCGCCAGGTTTGCATATCCGCTTTCCTCTTCTACATTATATGAATGCGTTCAACTCGTCGACTGTGATAAGAAGCGTTATCTAGTACAATAACTGAATTTCGTTCTACACGCTGTAATACTTCAGTAAACCATTTTTTAAAACATTCCGCATTCATGTCCTCGTAGTAGTCTCCTGTTTTTTCGATATAAACACAAGAGCGCTATTTTCCAAAAATCCACTGTTACTTCCGATATGGGTAACAATTAGACGCTGTCCTTTACCTAATGGTGCTTTTAAACCTGTAGATAATCCCTATATAAAAGCTTGACGATGACTAGTTACAGAAGTATCTTGCCATATCTTAGATACCGTGTGTCCAGCATTCACCCACATTTCATCGAGATAGTATATCTTTTTTTTAGCAGCTCTAAACGCTTTAATATTTCGTAAATATCGCCGTCGCCAGGACACTATATCTGACCTCTCAATTAAAATTGTTTTCATACACCGTTTGACAAAACGAAATTTTACGCCTCATAAAATTTTTCGTAAAGTTTCATGGCTCATTAATGGAATTTCTTCATTTTCTCTTAATTTCGTAAGAACAACTTTAAGTGTTGGGGCTTTGTTTTCGAAAAAAAAAAGAATGTACAGTTCTTCGAATGATTTGTTTTTGGTTATCGTCCAATTTCAACAATTTTCGACCACGGGTATGCGTTTTAGGGGCTTCTAAGGAGCCTTTTTTTATCTTTTCGCGTACAATACGTTCAATTGTTAAAACAGATACTTCAGTTAAAAAAGAACTGTGGTTTACAGCTTCATTTGTAGGAAGTGTCTGTTTCAGCCCATCATACACTTTCCATATAATGTTCTATTCATCCTCTGATAAAAGCTTTCGCCGACGTAATTGGGTTTCACATGGACCCGCCTCTGAATCCATTAGTATTGTAACAATATAATTCTACTATCAAATTGTTTTTATTAAACTTATAAAGACAGCAATATTTTACTATTTAACTTTTAAAGTACCTACCTAATATACTACACAATAAATATAACTCCTCGAATATGCACTACCACTACCAAATTGTAAGGCACAAACATGAACACCTACTCGTATATCAGAAAAGAGCACTTATACAAAACAGTGTTTATAAAATATAAAATAATTATCGTAAATAGTTAAAGCGATACAAATCTAACTTCGTCGAAAGTTAGTTTTCAACTGACTTTGTGCCTGTGCTAACAATATTCAGTCTGTCGTTTAATTACTTGAAACTCATTTTGAAACCATTAAACACAGATAACGAAGTCAGTTGGGAATAAATATATTCATTTCTTGAAAACTATCAAAAACGTATATTTAACGCATCATCTTTGTTTAAATAAAGATGATGACAAACAAATTTAAAAAAGTTTACCAACAAATACCTAATAAATAATAAATAATTATTTGGTATTTGATACACGGCCTATGCTGACTCTGTCGGAATTTTCATTCATAGACATATGCCAACTCTTTTTTGACCTTTGGCGGCCAGAACTTTAATGCCGTTTTTTCTGCAAATTCAAAGGCCATACGCCTTACTTCCTTATTAGTACATCCAAAAATATAGACGCTAAGTACTTTATTTGGTTTGCCATTTCACATTCTTGTTCCCTTGTAAAAACAGGGTTTCTTCCCAAACTAGGTATATCAAAATTTTCTTTTTTTAGCCTTTCTTGAAATGTAGAAAATGGAATTCCACATCGTTTTGCAGCCATTCGCATTGAAACTCCTTCTTCATACAACTGCTTGGCTGCATTTAATGATTCAACTGACCATTTTGCCTTATCAGTTTTTCTAATCCGTGTCTTCGGCATCTGCAATAAATATAAAAATATCAAAATACACGTTTTTGTAGTATGGGACAATGCCGGTCACCTACACTTGTGTAATACTAACGTGTTGATATCATAATGGCATACCTGAGGAATTATAGGGTTTTCCGTGACTTGATGCGCGTAACTTAACTTTGGATAAATTTAGGTCGAAAATACCTGGTACACTTTTGTCCAAAACTCAATAGTTAAGTTATGGGTATCTAATATTAAATTTAATTGTGAAGAATAAAATAACGAGCATGTTGAATTAAGTAATGTTATCTATTTTAAATTAACTATTTTTGTATAACTATCACAAATTTAATTAAAAAATTTGTATGTCTCCCGCTGCTCTACTAATAGTATTTATAAATAATGTGTTTATCGGCCTATTTTAAATTTAAAAACGTAGCCATACCAAATTAATATTAAAATTAGAACGTCAAAGAATGAACAATGCCTTCATAACAATATGCCAAAATAAATATTAACATTGTAAAAAAAATACACAGCCAGCCAGATCTACTTACTGTTAAATTTATTAACTCTCTAAGTACTGAGTTTTTGACAAAAGTGAAACTAACAAATTTTAAACTTAAAATTGTCCAAGAAATGCGCTCATAAACTTTGCGCATCGATTTATGGAACACCCTATACACTCTGTATATATCTTATTGTTCTGGCATGTGGCATTATACATTTTTTTACATGGATATTATTTGTCGATCTAGTTGCACAAAACATTTTGGCTAATAAGTTCCTTTCTTGGAGAGTGATAAAGCGTAAAGAGGCCCTTTTATCACAATTTTCTTTGGACGCATGCGTCAGTATCAGCTATCTTTTACATACTGTTTTTTGTAAACAAGCATGTTAAAATGCCCACATGAAAAAAATTATAATCCATAAATAATAATTTAAATATATTCATTAAAAAAAGTGAGCTAATTGAAAAATATATTTTTGAAATCAATTATAATTAAGATATCTGTACGGAAAGGAACAACGAAACGGTGTTGTTATGGTGTATGCTTAGATAAAAGAGACCAAAGATATAACATACATCGGTGTTTAACCTGCGCACATGTTGCCAATTTCTAAAGAAAGATTAACGGAGTTGGGGAACTGGGCAGGGACCCGAACTCTGTGACAGGGACCGGACTTTGTTTATTAGCATCATAATGAACTATTAGATTTACTTAAAATATACGTTTAATGGAATTTTGCATTATGAAATAAATTTAACGTGATTTTTTTTAATATTAAACAGGTGCCACGACGTTTTATGTAAAGAGAATACCTTTTATAGGATATTTCGTTAGCTATTATTTACTACGGACTTTTCTGTAAGAGACTACAGTAAAATGTTGAAACAGAATATTGTTAATCGAGTAAGAAATGGTACTCATTGTCTAAGGGTATTATAAAAAAAGCATGTGAGTAGGCGAATATTGCAAATCAGTTCTTGTGAGTGAAACATTATATTTTTTCTACGACTTGACAATATTAAAAATTAGTCAAAATAATAAAATGCTGATTTGTATTATAACCTCAGAAAAAGATATATTAAAGCTTGTTTCTTTAGGAATATTAATTAATATAGAGGATGAGTCACATAAAACTCTAGAAATGCATATGTCTAAAACCAGATAACATTTTAAAATTTAAACCTTTTAAAAATCATTTTTAAAACATCGAAAATAATCGCCTTATCAAAAATAATCGCTTAAGGGAAAATAACCAAGTAATTAAGAAGCCGATTCTACGATAAATCGATTTTCCAAAAAAATAACTAAATTATCGATTTTCAAAGAATCTTTCTGTTTTCATATTTCAGTTAAAATTGATTATTTTATTATTTTTGAACAATCGAAAATAATCGATTAATAAAAATCTGATTGACCGATAAATCGATAATTCTAAAAAATAATCGAAATATCTATTATATAAAATAACCGATTATATTCGATCAATC